CTCATTGGATAATCCTCTTCCCTCTTGGGGGAACAACGGTCCGTTGCAGCATGATTCGATTCCGCTACCGTTCAGAACACAGCTCACGTTTTTTTAAAAACAAGTTTCCCATCTTCGATTGTATTCCAGCCGACCACTCAAAGCATCGGTTCTAGCAGTCGAGACGGAATGCGAGCGGAGCTTCGTCCGCGTTGGAGAATATCTATCCCCCGTTGAGCATAACAGTGTCTGCTCTGAGTTTCCTCCTCCGGATTCAGCTGTATTCTTGACATTTTTCTCACTTGTTTCATCACAATGGTATCATCGATGTTTCCGCGGACCGTCCGGGAGCGTCGCCGCATCGACGGACGATTCTGAGTGAAACATCGCTCGGGAGTCGGGAGGCATGTGCCCCGCATTGATGACATTTCTACGAGAGGTTAGGGAAATGAGAAGGATCGAAAACCGAAAGTCGGGAAGGGCAGGAAGGCTGAGTGGGACAGACCCTTAAAGAAATCGCTCTCGAATCCGAAGCTTCGTCCGCCCGTCCGAGTGAGGCCAATGTCTGCGAATTGTTTGTTTCCTTATGACGACGGAAATGATATTCATCTGAAGGATCACAAGAATCTGTGGGAACTGAGAAGATGAGAGACTGACAAACAGCAGACCCGGGTTCTCGCGGTTATCATCTCCTGTTCGAGGTAACGAGACGACAACAAGAAGGAGGAGGAGGAGACTAACCGGCCGGTCTGACACTCGCTCGCCCGGCCTACAGGCGAACACCCATAGATAAAGAATTGAAACGAAAAGCGAATACAACTGCAGTCACACTGACAAACAGACGACAGAAAACGGAATAATGAAGCTTCGCCAGAAGACAAAAGCGATCTCGCCGGACATTGACTTCGGCCGCTACAATAGCAACTGTATGATACACGAATGTGAAAGTTCCGAGGATAGATGAATCGGATGAGAACTGTGGGATAGTTCTCGTATTTTCCGTTATTTTCAAATATCGATGAGAGGAAGGATCCCGGTGCCTCAGGGTGCACAATGTTTCGCTTTTATACTTTTTCCCTCAAAGCTAAAACGGGATTCTGAATCTTTCAAATCTGCCGGCCGGACGGGAACCCAGAGGAATCGAGGAGTTGATCTCGAGCGGAACTTCCGCTCGGGAAGGAGCCCTCAAAGAGGTTCCCGTAGGGCTTCTACTAGGGTGATGGGATAGTGAAAATCGTGAAAATACGGAATCAAACTGTTTTCTCAGACATCAGGGGTTTCATCGACAAATCCACAACTCAATGGTCTCTTGGAGCTGAGAGGGGGCGAGAAACTTCCCGCAGCGAATACCGTCGCATCGTCTAGTTCTGAAGAAGCCGAATCGTTTGCAAATTGCGAACCGGACGAGGAGACAGTCGCGGAAAAATGACGTAGATGATCAAGCGAACGCCATCCGACAAACCAGCTATTCGCTTTGGCGATTGATCTGTTCGATACAACGGTAGTAGCTTACAGCACTTTAGTGTAACGATCACTGTCGAGCATCCAAAATGCTGTTCCTAGTTGCACTGGCTATGACGTCGATTCCGTGGACGTCATCTCCGAAATGGTAGCGACATTACACCTATCTCAATTAGACGCCGGACATATTCTTGACAACCGCAAAGGACCCCAGGTGATTCCTTACTGCTGATTGAGAGCTCAGGGCGATAGCCCGCATAGTGCGATGATTACGGTGGACAATGGCAAGATTGTCGCTGTCAATAAGTTTACGCGGGGAGGAATGAACATGTGCCCAGGAGGACCATCTGATTCCGTCGAAGGAAGAGGCATCGAACTACGAATTCGGGCAAATGGCGAAAACCCGGACAGATTTGTCCGGAAGGATTCTACGGGGCAGAAGAATATTCTAATTTTGATAGTAATTAGGGATAAGATTGCGGGCCGTCTCATCAACCTAGTCGGATCGATGGAAAAACTCGATTGACAGGAAAGGGCGACCGAGCCAGATGACCTGGTAGACTCGGAAGCTGGCGAGATGGCTTTGAAAGGTTCAGAAACAAGAAAGCCCGGAGTATCACTCTATTTGTGCTCTAGTTCTCAGGGTTCGAGTCGCTTGTCTTGAACACTGTTCGGACAAATTAGCCGCGGGCTGAACCTGAGAACAATGTGATCGCTCGATGAACAATTCAAGGCCTGCGCGATATGGGTGGGCAGGAATGGTGTGAGACCACTTTTGATGTATGTAACCTGCGGGACACGTCACCTCATATTCGAATAACTTTCTCGCTTTCCGATACCGAACCCTAGGAGCTTGGAATGGAATGCAAATCTCAAGAGATGCCCCGCTCCTAAACCGTACGGAGCCGCGGAGATCCAGCGCTCAGTACGCCGGATCATCACACATAGTCAGGGCAGTCCTTCAAGTGGAATCATCGAATCGAATGATGATAACAATAATCATCGCATGCACATGTATGTGTGAATTCCCGGGAGTAGATGTTTCACCCCCCTCGCGAAGTAATTTAATGCTCAACAAGAGTGGGGAAATTCTCTGATGATTACACCAATTGGGTATCACAAATGAAACCTGGATCCACTCATGTCCCCTGCATGCGAGCCTCGTCCCCGACGGCCACCGAATCGATGAAGGTTTTTCTCGATTAATGTCTGGTGAGCGTCTCAACATAAGAATTGACCACAGCTTACCGGGATAAGTACCGTGTTTCTCCTGATAGAAGCCCTCCCCGTTATAGAAGCCCGGTTCAAAATCCCCCAAATAGAAGACTCCCCCCTCAATAGAAGACCGATTTTTTTTGGGAATATGACGTGACTAAAAGTTTATTGCACGAGGAAAGTACTCGGGGGTGATGCAAATATGAAAGATGCAAATCTCATGATAGAATGACTCTGAAGAGAGGTACATTTTTCTTTTTTTATTTCTCCGGCAGCAGGGATAGAACCCAAACCACCCCCCGCGCAAGCGGCGCTGGCGCTGCTTCACGAAACGAAACGGCCTTTCATTGAGCGATTCGCAGGGCACGTTTGCACGAGAAGTGGCCGACGATCTCGTCACTCGACCACTCGTAAATCGTACCCCATAAAGGTTGTTTGAGGTGACGGCGCGTCAGAACGAATGACGTCGCGTTTGAAGTCGCGTGAAAGTGGTCGAGTCTCGTGGAAAAACATGGTCCGGCCTTCTATTGGGGGAGGTCTTCTATTTGGGTGAATTTGAACCGGGCTTTTATAACGGGGAGGGCTTCTATTTGGAGAAACACGGTAAGGTCGGTGAAGCGCCAAGGCGTAGAAAGTTCCCATGGCCGCAAAGGGAACTCACAACACGAGGAATCGACGCTCAATGATTCCCTCCGTCGGATTCATTTCATTTGCTCAATCGTAGGATTACGTGACATCATTCGCTCGCCATCGTTTCTGCGACCCGCTCTTCGGTTCTCTCAGGCTGACACTTTGCCCCCTGATCTTTCCCGGAAGTGTCTCTTCATAAGTATGTGGCCGGGATGAGCCAGAAGCAGGAAAATTCTCTAGAATTCAGACACTCGCAGAAGTTCTGACCTCCCCAAGACCCCACGAGTCTGCTGTGGAGTTTAAGAAAGGAACCCGGCGCACAATGATCGACAGAGTAGATTGCTCTGAGCTTTCTGAGTTCAATCAATCTCCCGCATTGCCGGCGCTCGGCGCATGCATCGGAGTGAGCCACTTGATCTCCGTTCGTCCGATTCCGCCTTTTGCACTCTTGATTTTACGTTCGAATCCTTTGGAGTCTATGGATCAGGGTCGCCGGGACCGAATACTTGCCCCGAAGTTCCATCGGGACAACGTCCGCCTGCTCACGAGTCACGAGCTACGAGCCGAGCCCGGATTCGTGCGGAGCTCTTGGTGGATATTGAGCATCCCGTCTTCCCGGGGCTGACGTATGACAGAAAAATTTCTCTCGCGAAGGGAGGTTCTGGATTTGACTCCAATCCGATCTGATTGCGGGACGATTCTTGATCCGTTAGCCGGAATACTTATCCGACGACTAAGCTCCGTGACTGGTTAGCTCGTTTGTTCCGAGCCCGGTTCGAACCATCGACGTAATCCACAGCTGTCCGAACAAGCGAAGCGTTTATCATCACCGCAGCTTTCTGTCAACCACTACGAAAACCACCGGAATTCAAGGCGCTCTGAGAATTTCCCCTTCGCCGCATTCCGTGTCTCAACGGCAGCCTTTCTCGCGGTTTTCTGTCCCGCAGCAACACGAAAGACAGAATTCCACAGCTGGCCGTGATGATCGAATCCATCGCGCAAACAAAGTCTGTATTCTATACAACATATTCTCATAGGTGAGATGGTTGAATAATTCCTGATGAATCTTTCACGCAACCAATCATAAGGCATCAGCCCGAAGATCATCTCTTGACGGCAGGAGGATCAACCCTGAACTGGAAGATATATTGACGGCTCTCGGTCTAGCGATACCTCCCGAATTGAGGATTGATATCTCAACGCTCATGGATTTGGGCAAGACTCTTCGACCTCAAGTGCCTGAGACGGCTTTCTGTCCAAATATTCTGCTCGCAGAGCTTTGGGGGTGAGAACAGTTATCGAGCGACGCGCACCTCGGGGTGTCACAGCCGTAGCAACAAGTCGCCGAGCATTCTAAGCTCGGATTCGATTCAAGAGCGATCCGTATCAGCGGCCTTGCGGGCCGACGTAGGGCCACATAAAGAGCGGCTGGCTGTTTGGACAAGCAGACATGAGCATCCCGTCGCTCCTGATTATGTAATCATATGGCTAGGTATTTTTTTTTCATTCAAGCTCCACCGAGGCTCCGAGTGATCTCCAGACATGCTTCGGGAAAAGAGTCAGGAGAACAGCCCGGGCATCCCGAGAAGCACCCGAGCACTCCTATAGTTTACTCGTGAGATTCTAGCTCCACGGAAGCAGCGAACAGAGTTCACTCGTGACACAAGACCGCGAATTAGCGAGCGTCGTGGCTCCGGAGATTGACAGGAACGTACCTTGTTCGAAGCTTTCTTGTAACGGATCACGGCTAGTTCGAGCACATCTCGGACGGTTATGTCCCCACTACCACACGGCACGATGACACGCACCGGACCGAAGTTGACGGTAACCTTCATTGAGGAGTTCATGATCCTATTCGTCGACCGTTGACTGGCCGGAGTGGGGACGTTTATTTCACATATTCCCTGAGCGCGCTGACTGAATCACTTCCAATTCCACTGAGCACTTCCAGCCGCCGACGAAAACTCGGATCTCCGCTGACACTACTTCACTTCGATGAGCTGACTGAGTGTGGAATCAACCCGGACACACCGTTGTTGTGATTCAGAGCACACCACTGAACTTCTTCCTACTCCTCAAAAGAAGGCAATAACAACAACAGCAGTACTGGCCGTACGCATACCCTGTCGTGTATGCGTACGATTCGCTTGCCGCCTGACTGCCGTTTTGTTATTCCCGTATCGAAATCTCGTGTAATGTCGCTGACACCGCTTGCGCTGGCTGCCGATGAACGGGCGAACAAACGGACGACGATATAGCGACCGACCGAGCCAGCCAATGCTTCTTTCTCCTGAGAGCCCGCGCCTCGCCGAGTACCGTGTCCAGGTGGCCGACCGGAGCGCCCTCTACGGACGCTCACAACAGTCAACTTCTTCTGTCGCTTCCATTTTCACCCATCAATCATGCCAGAGGAGGGAACAGAGCTCCGAGAATTCGGGTTCGATGATTTCAGAGATCCTGCTCGGATCGAGAACGACCGCGATGCATAAACGCTGCGGCACGCTCCACTGAAATCCGGGAAATTCGACGGTGATGTCAGAGCGGCGCCAAGTTCAAAAAAGAGGGGCCAAAAGGGCTGCAAGGTCCTACCCGTCCGTATCTCTTCTGGGATCTGTGAATCGCATAGCTCAGGGTGCCGAGTGAGCTGCTTTTCTGCGACACCTTTCGATCAGCACCCTCGGAGTGATGATCAGATGCACATTGACATGAGAGATTCCGTTGAGGCGTGACAGTATACTTTCGTTTCCGATTCTTGCGCGCGATGCAAATGTGTTATTGTTGTAGTGCCTGCTTGAGTCCATGTGTGGCCGACCGCCGACATTACCACCACCGCGTTGTACTAGCCTCATGCTGACAGGACCCTCCGAACCTCCCGCCATTGGTTCAAGCGATATTCTATAGCGAGAAACTTTTTGAATTGTGTGCAGCGCAGGAAAGCGACGATCGAAATCGCCAATCCCGGATGCCCCTCCGGTTCCCCCTAAGGGACTCGCATGGGATACGCGTATCCTTTAGATAGGCCGGGGCTTGCCGATTCCGCCTCTAAGCTAGGTAAATGGCCGAGGAAGGGTTGATGGAGCTGGAAGTCTTCTACGGTTTCGACAAGAGCCGGATGTCCGTCCCTGCTACATCGGATTCGAGTTTGGATCCAGTCTCTGGAAGTTGCTCACTGTGGATATCCGGAGAATTCGAAGAGTATAGAATTGAATCCGGATTGCCCCGGGTCCCAACCATTTTTGTTCGGACACAAATATCAAACTTTGCTCGCTAGTCGTTCCTCCTCGTTTGCGCAGCGCTCAATGCTATGCCGTGGATCTATTCGAGTGGGAACTTACAGCCTTATCTTGATATATAGTGGGCAATGGAGTCTTTCACCGGAACTCGAAAACTCAGAAGTCCTATTAGCTTTGCTCTCAAGGTCGCCGTGTGGAAGAGGCGTTCCACGGTAAAGTAATATTACCCAGTACCTGATGCTTCGACCATACCCATTGTCAGCTTCTCGGTAGGAGCCGAGCTTCGTCCAAGGTAGAGAAGTCGGAGGCAAGGAACCTGATCCATATGGGACGGAGACCAAGAAAAATGAGATCTTCCCCGAGAGATGCACGTGCATATCGGAGCAAGGCAGCTTGCATTCCTTGTAGATTGACAGATTGGGAATGGGGACTGCGGACTCACAAGCGACGAGGGTTTAAGAACCGCTGTCATTCAAAACCGTCAGCCTCATCCTGGAGTCCATCACCGCTGCTCAACCCTCCCGCCCTCGGGGCCGGACGGCGCTCGAGCAGAGCCCTCAGTGATTCCTCTCCCTCAAGGGGGCATCTCTACCACCACATTTTCATAGTCCATTTCATATTTCATTTCCATATTTTTGAGCATCGGAAAGGTTGATGATTCTCGGCTCCATGACGGTAACTTCCCGGTAGCGCGCTGTACTTCGCTTCGACAGCGGCAGGATGGCAGGGTCGCATGTATTTTTGGGGCGTCGAATGCACAGAACAGGGCTGATTCTGGAACTCGTCGTGGGGCGCGAACGAGCGCGATTCATCGCTGGGAGCCCCTGCGCTTACTCAAGTAGCACCGGCACGCCACCGCTGCGCTCTTGCCCGATGGCCTTGCGGAACTCGAAGCTGCCTGTGTCGAAGTATATTATGAAACAAACGGGAGAAGCCGCGCCGTTCCTACGATGATCAATTCTCTTCATGAGTTGCGGCGAGGACCCGGGCTCTTGGAGATCTGTGAGAACGGATCTGTGCGCAGAGATCTGACGTATCGTGAGTGTTTTGACACATTCTTACCTAAGAACTCGGAGCACTAGACCTCTAGCCTCAATGAGCACGCTCGTCCCGATTCATCATTCTCTGGAGTAATACAGTATTCGCGCTATCCTCGAAAAAACGCTGATTCCGGAACGGAAGAGCATCGGGACGATTGATGTCGACGTCGGTCGGAAGCGTTAAATGGAAGCCCTAGGCGCCTAAAGATTGGAGCGAGAGAGGGCTCTCAAGGCAGACCTCTACTGAGAAGTGTTTGATGCGGACTGTTATCGGCGAGACAAGCCCCCTCCGCGGAAGATTTGCGACATCCCCGGTGGCAGAGGAGACGAGGCTCTACCCCGGTGGCAGAGGAGACGAGGATCTACAAGGGTGGCAGAGGAGCTCGGTTCGACGGTCGATTCGTGCAGCGACCCCTCGCAGCTCTCGTGGGCTGCTTCTACAGACATCCTAATCGTCGATCGCGGTAGGTGACCGATCGAAACGCCTGGAACTCCGGAGAAAAGGCAATGAATGCCCTCTCCCCCGATTCAGGCTCTTCCGCGACATTCTGCCACCTGGGCTCATCCGGGTAGTTTGCAGATTATGCTCCGGACTCGATTTCGGATGCCGCTCAAAAAAATATCCCGTCGAAAAAACTCCAACTGACTACCAGTTCGACCATGATTCCCGAAGCCGTGACAAGACGTGTCAAGAAATCCTCGAGAGACCTTCGCAGAACGCCTCGATAGCGTAGTATGAGGAAAACCGCGAGGATGCGGCCGCCATTGGAAGAACGGCAGAGCTTCAATTTATCGATACGCTCCATCTTGCATCGGTAAGCGTGAGAACGGAGCGCTCGTTGTCTCTTCATGAAGACGCACTGTCTGGTGCAATACATGGCCTCACCGCCGTGGACGTGTGATTTGATACGAATGCTGCACCCCAAGGACCCGGATGAGGAGCTCGACTCGTATCTGGGTCTCACCTGATGCGTACCGGCAGGTTTTCGTGAGTGTACTCGACGCTGGTCTAGTCTGAGGAGAAACGCGAGTTGGAATCGGGCTAAGGGTCAAGGTCGTCCCTTTGTCCGAATCGGTCGCGTAATTGGCTCCCAAATGGGGAAAATGAATACCAGCTGCGATTCTCCCAGGGAAGGCTGACTCGAGCGTTCTCCACCTTGCGTACCGATGGAAGAGTGTGCGGCTGCGCCTTTAAGTTCCTAGTTCACAACATCGGATACGCTACTCTCTCAGCGCGGAGCCTGCGGCGATCCTGCTCTGTGCCGGCGACAGCTTTGGAAACGAAGCTGTTCACGAGAAGAGCTGAGGGAGTCTGCCTACATTTTACTGTCTGTGCTCGGCAACATGTGCTTCGCATGACAGGTTCTGTCTCCGCTTTCTAGAAACTTTGAACTACTATATGGTCGCGAATATTCATGATCGCGGCTTGGAGGCGTGATGCTGAGCCGCGATCATGAACATCGCGGCTAAGCACTCCGAGCGTTCCTGCTGGCGCTAGAATCTCATTCCCGTCCGAGGCCTTCTCATGTTGGATCACTAGACCAACTCTGATTTACATCGAAATCTGTGGAGAAGAAATAGACGAGCTCCTTCAAAAATTCTCATTTGTGATTGCGCTACGTGACAGGACGTCCCAGGAACATTTAGTCCTCGATTCCTCTGTCGCGGAAAGTTTTCAATCTCACGCTGGGGGATGGGGCCTTGTCGTGGCGGTAGTTTGATAACTGCACGGATAGAGCTGCGGCCGATAATCACGGGGAAGAGCTGAGGATGCACGGCTGCCTCAGAGCTCCCCGGGAGTGCGTACACGAAGAGAGATCTCGGATAGGACGGGAACACCCAGAGGAGAGTCCGAGGAATCGGTTCCCCCTGAACGAGTCGATTGTTTCAGCCAAAACTCATTTTTTGGCGCAGCCCAGCTCTCGTTTCCCGATCAGCGCTCGTCTCATGCTCGTATTGATTCGAAACCTTTTTATCCCTCGCTCACTGAATCCCCTGAGCTCGTTGCGGTCCTTATTTCGGGCTCTCCGAACTCCACCGGTATGTCCAACTGTTCACGGCTGTCCTAGCGGAGCTCTGTGCCTACATTCTCTCCTGATACTTGCCACTTCGTCCCGTACTCCACCAGCAGACGAGGCACGACCGTCAAACCTTGGAGCGCCAGGGCATCAGTGTCCTCGCTCGACGAGCTCGCAGCATCAAAGCGCGCGACGAGCTCATCAGTCTTCGCTAAGGCTGGGAATCATTCACGGCAATTTCCTCGAAAATTCACGGCAATTCCCACCCCCCATTGACTTCCTTGAGGATCGTCTGAAAATACCGCGAAAATTGACGGCTTTCGGCGCGACCGCGCTTCCCAGCCCAAGTCTTCGCCCACCGATGCTCGACGTCGGGCAGAGGAACTGCCAGTAGGGTTAATGATTTTTCCTTTGGTTCTGTCCCCGATCATATGAGGAGACACTTAGAGGATTAGAACTCCTTTCCGAACAAGAAGATATACGGAATTCCATAGCTCCGTCCCGGTTTTACCATTGACCACCCAGTCGTGAAGAGGAGGTCAACTCTCGTCGCATCGATTTAGTCACTTTGAGAAGCAAATATTCAGCGCTGGGAAAAACCGTGAACTCACTGGGCGATACCAAGCATATGCGGACCTCGATGAACCACCATATCCGGGGTTTGTCGAGTCTTCAGGGATCACCTTCTCGAGCAGACACTCGCGGGGAGCTCTCGTTCGCGAAACCGCCGTGACGACCCGGACAGCCGGTCCGGCGCATGGCCCACTGCGGGCACTCACCGAAGAACGGAAGCCCTCTTCGGGCTTGTCATCGACTGATTCGCGAGACTTTCCGGCGAGGATTCGCTTGCTCGTAATGTGAATTTCGCGACGGTTTCATTAGGGCAAAAATTCCAGGGAGCTATCGAGTCCGCTCCGTAGTCCAGGAACGACGAGTAATAAGCTTCCGCGACGAATTAATGAATGCCACCTGCGTTCCTTTCCAGCGTTCTCCTCCATACACACCGATGGAATATTGGTCGGCTGTATCCACAGTTTGTGAGATCGGCGACTTTTCGGCTTAGCGCGAATGGCTCGTGTATATTAAGCCTTGGATCTGACTCCGTGGCCTACGGTGATTTCGCTTCAATCGAGTGACGGACCCGGGTCCGATGCTGTCCACAAGAAGAGCGAGGGTGGTGTACACTCTTCTCTTCGTGCTCGGTAATATGTGCTTGGTATGAGAGTTTTCTGTATTTTCTGAACTACAGCATGTTTCATTGTTCTCGCGGCCAAGCATTCCGAGCCATGCCATCGGGACCATTGTTGATGAGAATATATCGCTCCCTTCCCAGGCCTTCTCGTACGGAATCACGGGACCGACTCTCATCGACTTCGCCGAAATCTATGGAGTCGAGATAGACGAGGTTTCGGAACTCTATGTATCACGATCAGCTGGGAATCTCATCGGCTCTATCCTGGGTTGTTGTCTATCTATGAGACAGAGATCGAAAAAATTCAGACCACGTCACGGGCAAATGACCCGCTGTTCACACGTCCTGATCGGATTCAGTCATTGGATTCTTTCCCCTTCCACCTTTCAGAAAGCTTCGCCGTGAATGATCGAAATTCGAGGCGAGTCCTGGTGGGCGCACTCTTCATCGAGGGAATAACCACAACTTTGTATCCCATCTCGAAATATCTGTGGGCCGCTCATATAACATCCTTCTTCAATGGTCTAGTGCTCGCTCTCTTTGAAGCCGGTGAGTGGAAATCTAAATCTAGCTCAGAGATTCGATGTCTGACGGGAGAAAACTTCCCCCACCCCGAGAGTCTCACGCGTCTCCCGTCGCTTGCAGGGTCCTACGTAGCGATAGCGAATCTCTGGGAGAATCCCAATTTCCCTCTGCAACTTCACATGTTGGGCTACGGCTTCGCAGTTTTCGTCGTTCCTTTCATTTCTGAGCCGTTTCTGAGTAAGAGCAACCCCCTAGATGCTGGCAAACTCCAACAGGCATCGGTGAGTTCCTCCGGGACATTGGCCTGCCAAAGTGGCTGATCAATGGATCAAACCTCCGCTTCGAGGCAGCGTATGCCCCTTAATACTTGATCTTTGTCGGCTCTCAGGTTTCCCGTATTTACATTCCCCATGCCGGAATCGGCGCGTTGTGCGTTATACTAGGCATTGCGCTAGCCATAACTACTGCCTGGGTACCATACCCGCCGAAACCGACGATTGCCGAAAAAACCGACGCCGACACGTCCCCGAAAAAGCGTGATAAGGTTTTCGAAACGACCCTAGTGATCCTGTTGGCTGTGATGTCATTGTTCTGTGTGAGCCTGGAGATGACCTTCACGGGTAAGCACGCGCATACTCTGGAATATCGAGGAATATCTCGTCCTGAGACGAAGCGAAATTCTTCATGGGTACGTGCGAGATCTACGAGTTGACGATCGAATCATTCTCAGGGATGATCTCATCGTTCGTTATCCGATCGGATCTTCATCTCACCAAATCCGATGGGGCGTATCTCGGGGGCGCATTCCGTGCGACGTTCTTCGTGGGGCGAATTATCATCCTGATCTTGCACAACCTCCCGCTCACCCTCGTCATTGTGGTGAGTTTTCCGCGAGCTTATGATTTTCGACGCGTTGACAGCGTGCAGCCTTTTTTCATTTCAGAATAACTCATGTTTTCTTTCCTCAACTCTCCTGCCTGAAGTTCAACCTGGTTTCCGCCTTGGTATCGTCGTTGATTTTCGTGTTCTTCGTCCTGAGTTCGCCCTACGTGGTGTGGGTCGTGAACGCTGGACTCGGACTGGGTCTCTGCGCGATCTTCGGTACCGACATCGCTTGGGTCTGCCAATACGTGACTCTGAAGCATTGGCATATGGCAGCTTCCATGGTCGTACTTTCCTGACATTCTCATGAGCATTCCAGATATTCGTCATCCGAAACACAGAGAATCAAATAATGACATGAGAAATTCTCAATATTCCAGATCGGGGTTTGCATCGCCAACTCTTCGCCTGCTTTCATCGCCGCACCGTGGATCGATTCATACCCGATGATACTGCCGTATGTGACGCTCGCGCTGTCGACGATTCTTTGCATTACTTTCGCTCTAATGCTCTTCGTGGTGAGAGGACGCGAGAAATTAGGCTCGAAATAAAAATCTGCCTCCTCGTAGTCATGACGCAGATCTTCTTCTGACTGAGGAGCGAGCGGAAAACCGATCCGAATCAAGGAGCTTCAGTCCTACAGAGGAATAAGCTTCGCACGATGGGGGTGTCACGTTTTTTCGCCCAGGGACTTTGAGAATAGGGTGCCGGATCGTCGGTGATACATGGGCTTCTGAGTCTCCTCTGAATTCTGAGATCGTTTCGCAGTGCACTCCCCGATGTCGGATATTTTTCACGAGAGACTTCGGAAATTTTCACGAATATAGTTTTTTTGAATGTCGATCTCGAAAATGCCGCCCCAAGAAAGTGCCGCCCGGGGCGGACCGCCCCCTCCGCCCCTCCTTGAGCACGCTACTGTCTGTAAGGCTTGGGCGTAGAGATCTGCGCCAAAGGATACTCTCAGGAGTCGCCACAAGTCCGATTCCCTGATGGAAGCTTCCTTTAGTAAGCTCCATCTCGATACTCTTCCTTTGGTTCGAGAGTTTGTGGGGAAAATTCGATTCCTGCCAACACATGTAGAAAACCCGCTCTTCCTGAAGGATCGCGGATTGCCATCTTCCACTCCGCCGCAAGGATATGCCCGCGCGCGCATATTCAAATGTGCCTAGTCTAGCTGTGTCGGCTGCTGTGGTCGTCGATGAAGAGCCACATCTGCGTTCCGACTTCCGACCCACGTGGTGAGAGAAGGGAGAGGGCATGTCCTGTGTCTCAACAAAGCGCGAAAGTGACCGACATGTTCGATTTCGCTGGCGATCAGCGCGGGAAGTACGTATCCTTCTCAGCAAGGCCCGAGAAGCATTCGCGCAGGTGAGTTTCTCTGGTGTTGGAGGAAAGTACCGGAAGCGAGGAGTTCGGAGCAAGTTTGGGTCTGATTCACATTCTCAAGCAGTCTTCTGCATCCCATAAGCATTGCCGGCGTGGGGGTTTCATAAACGGTAGTGGATTGTTGAATGATTACATGGCGCATCGTGGTCTCAATCCTCAGATGCCGAAGCGGAGGGTTCACGATATTTCCGAATCTGACGCGAGTGATGATGGAATCACCGGTACCGAACAGGAGTCCTCTTCGACGGGCGCTGACCCATCGAGAGGAGTAAAGGTTTGTTCGGGTGGACGTAGGCACTCCTTTCATGAGACAGATTATGAATCTTTCTCCCGAGTCCGAGCCGCTCGAGGTTCGAAAGCTGCGGAAGAAACCGGCAAAACACGCTCCTTTCGCTGTCTTTCACCGCTGTTTGTCGCACTGTTCTGGCAGCGAGCTAAGAGCTTCGCCGGCGGTGAAAGGATTCGGACATGCCGTCGGAGAAATAATGAGATGGTGTTTTGATTACCTGACCTCTATCAGATCAATGATCCTTAAGCTCGAGCGCAGGTGTTCCGGCTGGCCCTTGGATTCCGAAGCCTGAACATCAGATATTCACAAAAATATCGCGCAAAACCCCTCTCTCGACAGAAAGGCCGCACGCATGAGGCTCTCACTGATGGAGCAGACGGGGAGTCGTCACCATCGGAAAGAAGTCCGACGAACGAATCAGATCCTCATGCGGAATCGAGGGCTCTGGCTCTGAGGGGCTCTCCATCGTCAGCAAGTCAAATGTCCATCCTGTGTTTGGATGCGGTGAGCGGTCGAGATGTCTCCATTTAGGTTCTTGATTGAAGGCGCAGGCGATCTGCGGAATGAGAGTCGTGATAAATCAATCAATTTACATTCCAGCACGAGGAGGTCGAACGAACGCCAAGATCGTTCAGCGTCGTGGACGTGCCGAAGCGACCCCCACGGAAAGTGCAGACTTTGATGTTTGCCTACGTGGTGGATCGTTCCCCATCCGAGACGTGCAGTTTCGAAGATTACGGATTCTACACCCTGAAGCGGAGAGTAATCGACACTTTCATGCGGATGAGATTGGATAAGGTCAGCCTTACGGAATACCCCGGGATCACCCTAAGGAGACTCATATTCGCCCGGAATTGAATATCCTTCTCCTCTTCTAAGGCTTGTGTTTTCTCATTCGCAGTTCAAAAAGCACCATGCTCTGGTCCTCACATGCTGTGACGCGAGGACGGATAATCTGAGCAATCGACTCCAAGCGAAGTCGCTCAACGAGCACTGCGTGGAAATTCTCCAAGCTGACGAACTATCCGTGGATCGGGTAAGGGACGAACTGAACGAGTAGAACGCGACGCCGAGATTCCAGAACAACAATTCCAAGATCTCTGAACGCTGAATACGAAATTCCCGTCCCCAGATACGGGAGCTTCCCGAAACCTCCAGTTTCACATCCGAAGAGGAGCAGTTTTCGAACGTCATTGCGGGTTTGATGACTGCAGCCGATATAATAACGCGCAAAGCTGCTGATTGCGGAACATACGAGCGAATCGAAATCACTGTGAGTGAGATTCCGTGAGCATCGACGCTGTCCGCATGCAAACATCCCTCGGGAAAAGGAGGGGACGAACGGGGAGTCTCCCGCTTCGAGTCGAGATCTTTATGCGTGCCACGGAATTCGATTAGCTTGGGCTTCTTGTATCCGTCGACTCCACAGTTGTTCTCCGATCTCAAATTCGACTTAAAAGATCGATCGGTCAACAAGATGTCCCGGGTTCTCTCCCATGTGTTGTCAGAAGCTGATCTCACGATAATCTCTGACGCGTCGGAGAAGGAGTATTTCCAGCGGAATATGGATTTCTTGAAGGATATTTTCAATGAGGTCAAGGTGTTCTCTCACAAGGAAGCAAAAAGACAGGTGAGTCTGATGGCAGGGACAGGATTCCCCGGGGCCTGGATTGGAATCGGGGAGGAGCTGAGAATCAATGAGGACTAGCTCTCCCGATGCTCAGGATCAACGAACGAAGATCCTGGAGTGCGTCTCCATGACTCATAATCGATTGTTGTCGTCAGCTCCAGGAGCAGTCTATATCGTCCGTTTCTCACCTTCTTCCAGAGCGAGCAATGGACGATGGCTGAGCAGATACCAACGAAATTTGCGGCGACTATAAAAATTTTCGAGCAGGAGCTCCCGATAGAAGCATATCTTCTTTGCAACGAGAAGAACAGCTCACTCCTGAAGACGAAACTGGAGAAGGGTTCGCAACGCCTACTAAATCAGCATGAGGATCCGACCTCCTCGAATATGTAGAAGACGAAGACAAGATATAATATCAGATTTTGCTCGTTGCAGCCGATGACAAGACCCAGACCGTCGAAGTTGCGGAGAGCTCCCTTCGCGAGGAGAAGAAACTCGTCAAGCTCACCGACGATGGCCACTACATGAAAGACGACCATAATCGTATAGTGACTGTCGACCCTGAGCGCGCAGCCATGGCTTACCGGTCAGTCTCCTATGATATCTGGCCGTGAACTCAGAGACATGTTTCCTTTCCAATTATGGCCAGAACATATTATGATATCAAGCAAATATTGCCCGGCAGATTTGGAACAACAGCCGTCCCGACAGAGAAAAAACTCGCCGAATATGTACCGTCTGAGCCGAGTCACAAAGGTTACGTGGTTAGGGGCTGGTACCCTGCCAACGAGTTCGCTGTGAGTTTTCCCCGTCGAATACGGGAACGAGTGTGTCAAGGAATGGCATTCTGAAATGAATTTTTCGCTGCTGATGTTACCGCGCTAGATATTGATCCACTCGGATTTGCAGCTATACGTGAGCGGCGGTAAGGCATACCGAGTGTTTCCTGCGGGCGGGAACTGTTCCGTGTTCGATTCGCTGCTGGTCTTATGTGCTCGTAAAGGATACGCTCTGCTTGTCGACTACACGTACCAAGCCCGCTTCGAGCCAAAGCCGGGAGTTCTCATACCTCATCTCAAAAAACGTTGCTTCGTGTACTATGACCTGGTACATGAAGATAATCTCAATTATTTGCCTCGGTACGATCCCCTCGCTTCGGTGAAGCCATCTGCGGATAAGTTGAAGAAGCTGTGCGATATCATCGCCCAGTCTCAAATCGACCGTCTTGAGCTCAAATACGACCCAAAAGATCAACAAATAATTGAGAATTGCTGGCAGCAAGAAATCGGAGAGAGCTCATGGAAGTTCCATGAGAGATTCGGGAGCGTGGCTTTCAAGAGAGATGCTGCTCTGCTCGAGAGGATTGAGGAATTCAAAGAAGGCGCTGGAGGCTTCGTTCGACGGCTGGTTGTTGAGAAGAAAGAAGAATCCGCTCCCAAGGAAAATGAGGATCTAATCCCTTTCCCTGTTGAGTTTGTGGACAAGGCTCAGATAGAGAGAGTACCTCCCGACGATTTCAAGTCACTCTTCAGGAAATGAGAATATCTCGTCATCGATTTGATTCATTCTGGAGTCTGTCAATATGTTTCTAATAAAATCATGAATCTTATCTTATTTATGAAATTTCTAGATCATAAAGTAGTTGCATATTATCGAGGGAAATTCTCCTTTCGTCACTGCTGGAAGTCTCGATCTGAATCCGCCGATTCAGATCGAAGGAGAGGCGCACCGAGTGAATAGACTGGGTCGATCTCGGGAAGCTGTACCTATGCCCCCGCTCTTCTCAGCCGGAAGAAAGAGAGGATATGATGCACTTTCGTGGGAATCTCTGGGTCAACAATCTGATAGGAGAAGCCTCTTTCGGTGGCTCCGCCGGGCTCTTCCGGGAGTGGGACTATGACGACGCCCGGAGGAAAGTCCCTCTGAAGGGACTCCGGAGATTTCCCAAGCCGGATTCTAATAATAGTCCAGGGTAAGCAATCCGTCCAGAGGGAGGGCTTGAATCCTTTCGATGGGCTGAAAGTCTGAAATGCAAGCTTTCCCTAATCCGATGATTCAACCAGAGGAGAATCCAATCCAAGCGAGTTGCCGCGGCTCGTTCCGGGGGATCAAACGATCTCGCCAGGACATGCTGTTTGAGTGACGCTGGCCCTCTCGGCTTCCGAGAGTACCCCCTTAGAGACACAAGACTTCTTGGGGGCTGACCTGCGTTCAGCAAATTCCAGGGGGATCCAGCGATCCCCGCGAATCAGTCAGTCTGCGAATCCTGCCATTTCCATCCGAGAAAAATATCCAGGCCTACCGATGCGCACCTTAAGCCGAGTGGCGACATGCGCCACCAAGCCGCATGTTGGAATGAGGACTGAAGGAAAAACACGTGTGGTGTGGACGTGTGGACCAAAGCTCAAGAAGCATTATTCCGTTCACCTTTATTTCGCGATGACTCCGCTCATCTTAACCGTCGTAGCGGAGACAACGACTAGGCATTCAGGGTCAGGGATCTGCGCAACTTCCAACACCGCAGCAAAACATTGAAGCTTCGGCTTAGTCTTGGGAGAGGTCCACCACCCGCTCGAACCCACATATTCCCGTCAGAAGCATCGATTTCGGTCTAAGATGGGGAAAATCATCCGGATCGTGAGCGCCTTCGCCTACCACATGGACTCCTCGAGAGTCGCTGCAGGGAGCCCACGAATATCTCCCCCGGGAAGCAGTTGGAGAAGCAGGAGTCACTCCGGCTCCTACTTCCAGATATGAGGCTCAGGATAGGATACTCTGCGGAAACTTGGGATCCTGGACGGGGCATCTCACGTCCCGGCATTATCTACCAGTAGTAATCCAGGAGTAATCCGTGCTCCGCAAGCTTTTCATCGCAAGGAAGATTCCCGCGAATGAAGCGATGGGGCTCGACCCCATTATACTCCGACTCCAGTACATCGGGATGCCTTTCCGGAAACTCGAGCTCCGAGGAGATGCGGTTCGGATCCTTCGACAGGAATCAATCTTGGGTCTGAATTTCGATCGACCTATTCAAGGGAATCGTCTCGGCTCCCACAGGAATTGGACGTAAGGTGGCGTTGGTTCGTTATTCTCTGATTCTGATTCCGGCTGACTGATAGCCTATCATGCCCCTGATCTTCGACACGATCATGTGCGTTGTCTTATGATACTTATACTTATTATTACATCAGATTCGAGTGTTGAGGGCTCGACCGAGGGTAGATACCCTAAACTCAGCATAGCGGAATCCGTCGCTCGTCTTCCATATGAGAAGGGGTCCTCCAAATATGACCGTTTCCATTCGTCGAGTTCTCGAAGTCTACGAGTCAGAACTTTTGCGCCTAGAGAGACCGACGAAGGAAATAAGGCTCGAACAAGCGAGAGAGTAGTGGCGAAATCGTGATCGTGCAGAAGAAGTCTCGCTCAATTCGAGAACGAAAAGTTTGGCTCCGGAGGCATTCGAAGGGGCGGAGTAAGATTTTTCCGGAAAAGATCGCGCATAGATGAATGGAGAGATCGTTGTGTTTCCCTCGTCTGGAGTTCTACACTGAGCTACGGATGGCCAGACTGCGAACGAGGGGATCATGCGCGTAGCTGAGGAGAAACGAGAGAAGTCCATCTTTGTGTACTTCTCAGATCTTATCCGCATCGAAGCTTATCTGATCGAAGGACTATGAGGGCTCGAACGAGTGAGTGATAATCAGTGCGTAAGCGTAGGTCGACCGGGGCGCGATCGGCATGCGGAAATTCCCGCAAACGAAGGGAAGCGCGGGGACGCTCCACGGCGCAATGAATCTGCACCAATCGATTCTGCACCGTAGCGCCCCTGCTAGGGTCGGTATGACATGATCTCTCCGTTCAATCACCGACGGCGATATCAATGCTTCATTCATCTCAAACGGTACGGCGATAAGAATGAGCCGAGCTTAAAAGATTCAGCGGGGCCAGAGAGAAGTTGTCGTAGTGAAATGGCTTTGAGACAGTCGCCGCGCCGGTGCACGGTTCCGTTCGCTCACAGTGAATTCCGCCGGTCGAATCGCTGTTTTCGTTGCTCTCGGAAGACCTGGTGGAACGAGCACGTTCGGTGTGCTCTGGGACATGGAACACGATCATGGCGTGGGTCATGGAGGTATGGGCGGCATGGCGATGTCGTTTAATTTCAACGTTGATCCCGTTCTGCTCTTCAATTTCTGGCATCCGAAAAATGGAATCGCCCTCGCTGGCTCTTGCCTGCTGATCTTCGTCTTGACCGTCGCTTTCGAAGCGTTGAAAGCCTACCGGGAAAAACTCTACGTGCAATCGAGACGGGATTCGAGTGATTTAGGCTCTTCGAACCCCAGGTCGATGCTAGAGCCCAATCACTTGAAACAATGCGCCCTCTACACCCTTCAAATAACGATCGGTTACCTGCTGATGCTCCTGTTCATGACTTACAACGGTTTTGTCGCGATCACCATCATAATTGGAGCCGGATTCGGATTCCTGGTCTCTGGATGGAAAAAGTACCTCATGCTCGAAATGGTTTCGGACCACTGTGGATAGAGGAATATCGACGAGGCGGCTGCTCGGTGCAAACTCCTTTATCTCGGACCCTCATAACTCATGTGAGAAATGCCTCGCTCTGAGACTCGCTAAAGCTGTGAATAAAAACTCGATGGGTCATGTGGCTTGGAACACATCGCGATATCATTCTTTCTCCTGAATCCAGAAAATTTTCGCGGTTTGTTGGATAAACTTCCTCATTCCTCTCCCTGATCGATGTCTCCATATCTGAATGGAGACCCAGGGAGTCGGAAACGAGATAGGTACTTTCCTGAGGTGCAATAGTCGCCGATTATCCAGAATTACGCTCCGTGTTATCCCGATTGGGGACTAGGGATAGGATTATGGTTGGATATGGGGATAGTCCGCAGTGCTCCCTGATCCCTGACGTATTCTTCGGTCACGGGATGAGTCCCAAGTCGAATAGATCCGAGCCGAGTCGAGACTGGAAGTACAGTTTTTTCGTGCCTTGTGCGTTGAGCTACTTGAGAGATAAGCGCTGTGAGCCTTATCACACCCTGACGCCAGTGGTCTGGATCGAATTTAGGCCCCGATGACCACAACAGGAGCAAGCGACATCCAGGCCGCGATCCCACGAGAGAACGTTGCTGCCGGCCCGGGCGGAGATGCGCCAACCAGTCGAGACGCTCGATGACGACGCTGACGCCGCTGCCATCGGCCCTGCTGCCCTGTCTCTGATAGCATGACTCGGATCTCCAGACCTAGCGGGATAGCTCGTCGACGCAAACCGACCAAAGTGGCCGAGCTTGAAAGGCGAAGCGGAAAGTCGACCCCTGACAGGGGCTCTGGTCGCGTACTTCACAAGAGACCGGAGGTGCGCAGCGGCGGACATGCGCTTCCCGCCTGCGTTTTGGCTTGCTCCGTTCGCGTTCTTCATATCACGTGCCATGAAGACAATCCTGTCTCGACTAGCGCGACTTCCGATCGTCGAGATTCGCCGAATGAGCACGCAACACGAAGAATTCTGCTCGGTGCCGCTTTCAAAAGCCTCATTCTGAGGAGCTCAAGGCCTTCTGAATAACACCGCAGAGCACAAAAATATCATCGGGCCCCTTCGGCTCCAGTGTGTTGCGATGCTCGCCCAGCATTCCGTTCGGTATGAACGGATGTCGGGAGTCGGGAACACGCCTCAGAGGTCTCCCTTCTCTCACCACGTGGGTCGGAACGCAGATGTGGCGAGAGGAGTTGTCGGAAGAAGAGAGAGCTCTTCATCGACGACCACGGCAGCCGACACAGCTAGACTAGGCACATTTGAATATGCGCGCGCGGGCATATCCTTGCGGCGGAGTGGAAGTTGGCAATCCGCGATCCCACATGAAGAGCGGGTTTTCTACATGTCTTGGCAGGAATCGGATTTTTCCAGAAAATTTTCCCCACAAACTCTCGAACCAAAGGAAGAGTATCGAGATGGAGCTTACTAAAGGAAGCTTTCATCAGGGAATCGGACTTGTGGCGACTCCTGAGAGTTTCCTTTGGCGCAGATCTCTACGCCCAAGCCTCATAGATGGCGGCATATGCGGAAGCGACCCAAGATTCGTGACGGTCCAGCTCACGGGGAGAGTGACGGATTGGGAAAGTAGTTCACTATCTAGAAGATTCGGAGCACCCTCGCACAGGAGCGATGGTACTCAATCGTACGGAAGCGACATCGGGAAGTGCACCGCGGAACGACCTCGAAATTCAGAGGAGACTTAGAAGCCCATGTATCACCGACGATCCGGCACCCTATTCTCATAGTCCCTGGGCGAAAAAACGTGACACCCCCATCGTGCGAAGCTGTTCCCTCTGTAGGACTGAAGCTCCTTGATTCGGATCGGTTTTCCGCTCGCTCTTCAGTCAGAATAAGATCTGCGTCATGATTACGTGGAGGCAGATATTTATTTCGAGCCTAATCTCTCGCGTCCTCTCACCACGAAGAGCATTCGAGCGAAAGTAATGCAAAGAATCGTCGACAGCGCGAGCGTCACATACGGCAGTATCATCGGGTATGAATCGATCCACGGTGCGGCAATGAAAGCAGGCGAAGAGTTGGCGATGCTAACCCCGATCTGGAATATTGAGAATTTCTCATGTCATTATTTGATTCTCTATGAGAGCTTCCGATCCTGTGGGGCCAAACCTCCTCCACGTTAAATGACTGATAGAAACCCCGAAAACAGAGCTTCATCTTCTCCTTCTACTTACTCTTTCCGTTGCTCCTTGTGCTCTTTCGAGACACAATCAGCTCATGGTCTCAAGGTGCATGCAGGCCGCATGCACCCAAGACTCAACTTTCCTGTTTTGAGCTCTAGTCAAGATGCCTCTAGTCAAGATTCCTCATCCTCTTCTGATCTCACGAGCTCGAATGTCGGAGCTCCGGACGCTACTCCCGAGACATTGGAGTTATTGATCAAGCGTATCAATTCTCATCGTAAGAAATCCCGGCTCATCTCCATAATCCCACGTGGAATCAGAGCAGCAGTTGCCGCCGAACTCACGGAAGTTCTCAAAGCCGTCCACGCATCCAACGATCTTCTCGCTTGGTCCTCGTTGTACAGTTTCGCCGCCGTCGTCCTCACGATTCCGATTAGAGAAAATTCGGAACAGGACCCTCACTCCCTTATTCGCTGTAATCTCAACCGCTTCCGTCGAGAAAGAATCCTCTCATCTGATCTCCATGCCTCCTCGACGCCATCCAGGGCGACGCTTCATGGTTCAACTTCCCGTTTGGTCCAACACGAACTAGCTCAAGGGGACGTATCCGCAGCTGCCCGCACTCTGCTCTCCACAGACGTGACGGCGCCTCCGGGCCTTGAAACCAAACGTATACTAGAGTGCAAACATCCAGATATGCCATCTCATTCGTCCTATCCTCGTCCGCCTCGTCCAGTGTCTTTCGTAGACGAATCCGGTGTCTCTGAACTAGAAATCCGGACGGCTGTCAAAAGTTTCCCGAACAGTTCCGCTGGAGGCCCGGACGGAATTCGACCTCGCCACCTTAAAGATCTAATCGGGAAAGACACCAGCTCTTGCCCTCTTGTCGCTGCACTAGCGAAGTTTTGTACCATGGTGATCAATGGTAGGCTCCCAGACTTTGCTCTTGAGACTTTTTATGGAGCAAACCTATTGGCCTTGCGTAAGAAGGACGGGGGTATCAGACCAATAGCTATTGGGAACACTTTGAGGCGTCTCGCGAGCAAGATTGTCATCCGTAAGAATAGGGATTCTATCCGGGATCTCATCACGCCGGCTCAGCTGGGTTTCGGTGTCGACGGCGGAGGCGAGGCGATCGTACACGCGGCTTCCAGCTATATCGAAGTTAACGGTAATTCTCAGAAGATCATCGTTAAACTCGATTTTAAGAATGCGTTCAATTCGCTTCGGAGAGATCTGATCCTGAACGCGGTACAGGCCAACTTTCCTGCTATCTATCCCATGATCTACCAGGCTTACAGACTGCCTTCGAAGTTGTTCTGGGAGGATGAAGTTCTCATATCGAGAAATGGAGTACAACAGGGAGACCCATGCGGCCCTGCCCTATTTTGCATTGCCCTCCACCAGCTCACGTCGTCCCTACAATCGGAGCTTAGGCCTTGGTACCTAGACGACGGTACACTTGGCGGCGATGCAGACTCGGTCTTCACGGACATTCAGAAGGTCAGGGAATTCGCGGCTGTCTCCGGTCTCGACCTTAACGACAGCAAGTGCGAGCTCATTGTGCTTTCGGATCTCCCAGCGGTACAGTCAGATCTCCTCCGGGCCTTGCACCTTACACTTCCGAATGCCAAACTTTTGAGAGAAAACGAGTGGGAACTCTTAGGCGCTCCCCTTAATGGCCCTTCGATGGATATAACCCTGTCGAGGAAAATGGCGCTCGTTGACTTGTGGTGCTCGAGACTTCCGACCTTGGATGCTCATCCTGCCCTATTCCTCATTCGCTGCAGCCTTTCTGCCCCACGACTCCTCTATCTGCTACGAAGCGCAGATGCCGACCCCTTCGATGATCTCCTCAGGCAACTAGACGAAAAGTTGAGACTTTGTCTCTGCAGGGTGCTCAACCTGGATCTTTCCGGTGACTCTTGGAAACAGGCTTGTCTCCCGATCACCGCTGGTGGTCTGGGAATAAGGTCGCTCAGCGACTTGAGGATCAGCGCTCACCTCGCTTCTTTAAGCCAATTCAGGTCCCTCGCCGTAACATTGGTGCCGAACAACGTGGCTGCTCACCTCGAAACTCGGATA